AAACGATACATAGGAGAAGTACTTCTCATGAAATGAGTGGCTCAGTCACAAATCTAGAAAATACATAAAAAGAACCTGGGTTGCCTCTCTCTCTCTCTGTTTATATTGATTTTTTACATTAAAGTGGACACAGCATCCACGAACATAAACTTTGGAGGTTAATATCATGAAAACTTTGTAAAGACAGATCAATAAATTCAACATTATTCAATTTTTCTCATATATTTTAATAATTACCGAGCATGCCTGTTGTAAATACAGTACAGGTCGCATTTATGATCCGAATTGAATGCAATTTTGTACAGCTACTTTATTTGCCCCATGGACGAACACTGTTGAAACTGGTGAGTATCGATTAAAATTTAGATAAATATATTTCGTTGGGGAAAAAGAAATCCATTATTTTTATATGAACTATAGGACTTTATTTATGCAAACATGCCCCGTTTTGTTGTATGATTTGTTGCCATTTCAAAGGTAACTTCATAATGCCTCTCTCATCCTGCTCTCTATTTGCAAAAAACTCTAGTAGTCGATTTTTATAATCCTCTCAATTTTTTATCATTAAAGAAATTTTGCAATGCATGAAAAATATGGACTTGGGGCCAAGTCCGTACTGTATGGCGGATGCATTAAAATTTCCCAACCAAGCTCCCGTGGTTTCTGACGAGTCACTGTAGATGGGCGTGGCCTAGCGTTGTCCTGGTGGAACACGACACCTCTCCTGTTGGTCAATTCTGACCGATTCTGGTCAATTTTATGTAAATAGTCAACCGAAGCCCAAAATTTGTGCGATTAAAACGAAAATTTGCATTGCGTATTAAATTGAGCCTAGAATGGTGTGTATTGCCTTTTCATTCATGTTTGTCCTTTTGTGATTAAATGTTGGAGCTGAGAATATTGTCAATAAGTTGAAATGATTTCGATTATAGTTTTGATGAGGCTACAGATAACAGATTGGGAGAGAAGTTGAACCAGATTTCTGAAATAAGCTTTAGGATTTGCTTTCACTGGATTTTGTAAAATAATGAGATACGCAAAACAAATAAATGCAGTTAAAATAAAATATAGGACATATAATCGGCTACTACATAAATAAATCAATTGTTACTTTATATTTTGTTTTTATTGTTTCAAAAGGCTTTCAAAATTTATTTATTATATCTAATAACTAGTTATGTTTGTTTGTTAAATAAATATGTATCATGTATATGCGTCATAAATCACTACTTACTATGTATGTATATGTGTATGTAATTATGTACCTTATAATGTCAACTAACCTATCAACCTTTTTTCAATGGGAGTGATCAACATATGAACCTTTTAATTATTTTCTAAGTTTAATTTTATTTTTTTATTTTTATCTCAAATTTATATTTTGTGCGTTTAATAGATTTTATACCATAGATTGTCAAAGGCGTTGGCAAAACAGTATTATTTAGACGAAGTAATGTACATTTCCTCCAGAACAATTGAATTACGACTATAGAGTTGAAATTGTTTATAACGACACAGTTAATAACTACATATCGGATATTACGATTGTATCAACAAGTCCGGGGAAATGTTCTGTGTTTTATTTAATGGTGTTTACAACGACATATGGCTTATAGCGACCAATTTTGTCGATCATTTGACAGTCGTTATTAGCGATTTCGACTGTATATTGCAATCGTAATTCCATATATTGAAGGGTAGATGTTTTGGCGGGTACCTTTCCATAAAGGACAATAGAGTAATTTAATTTCATATCTTTATACTGTTCCACCCACAACCTTTGCATTTTACAATAAATTTTCAATGATCACAACTGGTTTAACATTTCTTTATTTTATTATGTATATTTTTGTTTGTTGTTGTAAATATTTAATATTATTTATTATCATTGTTCATGTACAAGCCTAAATTCTTAGTTGTTAAATATTATTTTTAAAAATTTTATTTTTTATATATATGAAGGGATTATTGCTTCACAATTATTCAATATTAAACACAAGAATGGAGATGGGCTTGGTAATTTATTTTTCTTTAAAGAACCACAAAATCGTTGGAATAAATATTGTAAACAATGGTGGGATATATTTATTAATTTTATTTTCATATTGAACATTTTTATATTTTCTCGTTAGATATTACTGAGATTTATTAACAATATATGTGTAATATTTTGTTATGTGTATATGTATATATGGTAAAAAGGAAGGAATGTGGAAAATAACTATCAAGGATTTGCAATTCGTAAACGAAGGCTAAAAATGTTTTACACTACATCACTACTCACATTGTGTATTAAGAAAAATAAATATTGAAAATGATGTACAATAGATTAAGATTTCTTAAAAAAACAACTATATTTTGTTCCAAAAAAATTTAAATGTTTTAAATCATCGAGCCATCTCAACAAAAATATGTGTATATCCCGAAATGCCTTTTCAATCACTATTCGCTCAGGTAAAAAAACAGGTTGATTCTGTTTTTTGGTATGCAATGAATGGAGAGAAAGATGTACTTTGTTTCAAACATTGATGTTTTGAGTCGATAAAGAATTATATTCACAGCACTTTAAAACCACAAATGCAATTTTACGGCGAATGAGGAGGGGGTCCATTCGGTGATAATAGTATACGGCCGCAGTTTGCCACATGGTGAGATGAATGACGTAACCGGCAACATATCCATACCCTTGGCTTAAACCACTTTACTGTCATAATTTCCCTTAGCAGAGTAGTCGATTTTAATTAATTTTCAGAACTATCGAAAATTGATTGCCAAGGTTTCATAGAGTTTATAAAACCATGCACCAGAGAACTGTTTATTGTCTCTCTAATCTGAAAAATTTCGAAGAAAAATCAGCACATCAGTCGCATGTTCGGCTAAACGTTCAGGCACCTAGAATAATATAGTAAAGATGAGTGGTCTTCGCTTCCTGACCGAAGGACTATTTCCACCACTCATATTGCAGATGTCATCAAAAAACGGCAGATATTGACTACAGCACTCCACTTGTCGTTCCGCTCCCCGACAGTTTTTATAGCCTGAGAGGTATGCAGCATGATCCCGCTTCTGAAGCCTGGAAAAGGTGCCAGCAGAGTATCGTGCAGGCCGATGAGATTTTGTCCGCACTTGAGTGTTTGTGTTCGGTCATCCTCTTGTCGGTACGCACCCAGAAATTTGGGAAGTGGCCCGGAAATCATGCCATCAGGCAGATTAGCCTGTAGAAAATACTCTAGAGGGGAGAAGTGGTTTCCAGCAATGAAGACCATTCCATGTCAAAGAAACAGAAAACATTTTTAAGACCATTCTGAATTTTGAATTAGTTGAGCCGAACCATCCGAGTTGATTCGTACAAGCCGATTTTACTTCTGTTGCCAGTAGGATAATCAGTTTTCCCGTAGTTCAACACTAACGTGGATACCGTAAAATGTCCAATACTGCAACTGCTTGGCATATCATTTCCACACATATTAGTAGAGGATTGAACCCGAACAGATTGTGCAAACGAATAGTCATGGTGGCTCTTGACCTATAGAAGGCCTTCGACACAGCCTAATCTTCGGCCTTGTTTGAAATGTAGCATAATCAACTGTAATGTCGACGCGAGTCATATGTGGAATTCAGAAATAGGAAGTGGTAGAGTGAAATAGGGAGTTACCCAAGGTGGGGGAATTTCACCGCAAATGATCAACCTCCACAACTACGGGACGGCGTAACATAAAGGTCCATGTATAACAGATTCCGACCACTTATTATCCAAGACATTGGTGTAACGTTTGACAGAAATTGGAAGAATATCCTCACATGGGCCGGCAGCTCTTGGAGCAACGATAAGGATACCATGTTGACCTCTTATAAATCAGTAGGCCGGCCAGTCTTGAAAGTATTTGCTTTGCGAATGGAAGTGATATGCAGTGGAAGACCTGTCAGAATGCCGTCCTGAGTACTGTAACAGGGTGTTTCCTCATGACACCAGTGGACCATATTCTAGAGGAAGCGAAAATCTCACCCTTCCATTGATACAACATAATTTGGTTGGTCATATCCATGAATTGGAGACATCCATAATCTGGAGAGAAAAATCCAAAGCTACAAGCCAGTCTGAATAGCACTAATACAGATGTAGTCGCTCAAGCAGTAGGACAATACTGTATGAACGCTAGGCACTGGTAGTCGTAGCATAGCTAAATCAGGATGGTCCCACAACAATTTTTTCTTCCATCGGCAATCGCAACATTCTGTATTTTTCAATAATTTTTACGGTTTGACTGACTGCCCAGAACCAAATTAAGTGAGTCGACTTTTTTAACAAAACTAAATGAAAGAAAGAAATTATCAAAAATCATCTGAAAATCAAACTAGAATGATTGTATATTGTTTTCAATGGTCTTGATTTGTTACAAATTCATAACAATTGTGATGCAGGGTAAAACAATTCGGCCATACCAATCCAATATCATATTTTGTGTATATTCTGTGTATTTGCCTTTTTATTTCAATTATGAGGTTATTGTGAAAACAAACAAAATCTGTTTGAATGATATTCCTTTAAAATTATTGCCAATACTTTTTCACTATTTGTGTGTGTGTAATTTCTACAATAGCCAACTACATTTTGGTTTTGCAGCTTCATTGCCAAACATTTGTATTTTCACTCTCAATAAAATGTCACTTAATAGAATAGTTAACAAAATAAATTAATATTATTTTTATTATTTATTTTCATTTTATGCATTAATAAAGTATTCACGTGTTTATTTTCTTGTATTGCAAATTTACTTAACTTGTTGGAGTTACTTTTACAGTGGCCTTACGCATTTTTTATTTTATAGTTGTTTTTGTTTTGTTTTTTTTCATATATAAACTAGTCTAAAAAACAATATTTTCAATATCTAATATATAATATTAAATGTTGTTGTTGTCTTTTTTTGCTCTTCTAATATTTTTTCTAAATATATAATTTAATTTGAATGTATTTTTGCCATTTATGTCACATTTTGTTGTTGTTGATTACCTCAAAATATTGTTGCTGTAGATGTTGTTGTATTGTGTTACTAAAAAAACTTATGCAGCCATTGCTAGAGTATTGTACAACGTCCTTTATTTCTATTTGATTGTGTGAAATCTGTGCCAATGGCACTGCCCCCCGTACTGGTACAACCCATTAGTTCACGAAATACATCACCGATTTTGTAGTTATATCTGCAAGAAGAGAATGGAACAAGGCAATATGGTATGAAATAAAGTACTCTGTATTTAAAAAATAACGAAAAAGAAATAGAAAATAAATATAATTCTACTAAGGAAAGCTTAAATGTTTTTTCTCTTAATCGTATTAATATTAAATTAGAAAATGGTACTTACTGTGCGGAACATTCCACATAGCCACAGCGCCAATGTTTCCGTACTAAGGTTGAAATATCTTTAAGTTCCTACAATCGATGAAATGGAAAGAAAAGAAGATAAGGAAAAAATTAGAAATTGTATTTATGTATTGTGTATGATTCTATTAAATGATAATCATAATATTTTAGATTTTAACGTCAATGGGCTAATAACAACCAACTCGCAGATTTATTTATATCGTACATAAATGTGTATATACAAAATATAGTTTAGACATATGATAATGTGAAGATGACAAAAAAGGCAGACTGTAAAAATAGTTTGTCAAACAACATGTAGGTGTTGATTCTCATTACAGAGGTATGTTAATATTTCAAATGTCATTAAGGGATAATATGGCGTACAAAAATGTAGAAGTTCCCATGATCTTTTAGTATTTGTTGAGTATATAATGTCCTCCATTTGTGCTTTGTCATTAATGCTCCGACCTAAAATCGAGCAATATATGGGAGATATTTTTGCAAATATTTTTAATTTTAAATTGTCCACATTATTCGTAAACTACGAAATATATTGTTACGAATATAACTTTAGATTTAAGTTAATTTAGATGATTTCCGTTAATTTAAGAATTTGAATCGTAACGTAAATTTCTACTACGCAGTTTATTTGAATAACTTCTTAACAACAACTACTGTATAGATTTTTCTACATCCTTCCATTTCCTCTTTCATTGTCTATTTTGTTATTGACGTACAATTCTTGTTAAACGCCATTCCTCTTTCTTTGTTACTCCCTCGCCTGTATATGTGTTGTTGTTATTGTTCATTCAATGTAAGTTTGTATATGTTTGTTGCATTGGTAGATTGTTCGTAATCTAGGTGTTACCAGATCGTCTAGAAACTTCTGTAGCGACAGGCAAGGCTCATATAAATAGGGGAAATGGAAAGGCAGTTAGTCCGTTGTCAATCAGATTGCGAATTGAAACAGCCAAGTAACGTAACGTGCAAAATAAAGTTGTATCAATAAAATCATTGTAATAATCGTAATCAGGAAGAACCCGCGTTTTATTTGGTACGAACTGTACTGGGAAATAAAACGACGTCTACACCGGATTAAGTAAAATCCAAGAACGTAACAATATTACCAAAATGTATCACATCTGGTCGGTCAAGATTGATGCAAATGCCCACCATATTAAAAGTTTAATGAGAACTAGGGATACTAGGGCTCTAAAATTATCTGCCAAGGCGATAAATAAGCTCGTTAGCTATTGGGCTGTTCATATATTCCCATGTAGAATAAGTCCAGTTGCAGCAGTCAAGAAAAAAACCAGCCCTATAAAACAAAAACGTTAAGGAGCGTTATAAATTTTGTAGAAAATTTAAAATCGGAGGATTGGAAACATGTGATTTTGCCCGATGAAACTACCCGTTTCTAATCAGATGACAAAACATATTACTGGCGCCGCTCACATGAAAATCTTCAGCGAAATCAAGGGAGATATTTAATGGTTTGGGGGTATTTCACATGGTGGAACGTTATGATAGTGGCTGTTTAAGTTTGATACTTTGGCCTACAACTTCCCGAGCCCAGTCGATCACGGATGCGGATTGACAGCTCGGAGCGTATATACCAACGGGCGACAGTTGTTGTTGGTTTGCTCCCCTTACTTGACACTCTCTCACGGGAATATGTGTATGTAGTTGTAGATGAACAAATACAAAGAATATTAGGATCCCAACGATTCTCTGCGATCACTAAGATCCTCTGCGATCTACGTGAACCTCTGGATTCACTTGCTAACTAACTCTTGACGAGCTAACATCTACTGATCTGACTGACTGACTGATTTAACGATTCATCAACGCCCAGTCGAAACGGCTGAAGCTAGAATCTTGAAATTTTGGGTGAGGGTCACTCTTGGCCCAAATGTGACAGATAAGGCTGGGTTTTTGGAAATTCGTACTAGAACGGTACGAAAAGTACTAAATGTGATACCATTTGTATTTGGCGAACCGGTGGAGCTAGAACTCTGAAATTTGGGTTGGTGGTCGTTGATTGAGTGTAGGATAGATGTTCTAAAGGGGTTTTGGAAATTCGAACTATAACTATCCGAAAAGTACGAAAATGTACTAAATTTGGTACAATTTCGTAGCATGTGAATGGATTGAGCTAAAAACTTGAAATTTGGAATGTAAAGTAACGTTGAGAAGTAGGGTCGATATGAGGAGAGTTTGGAAAGCGTGTACTCATGTGTACGAAAAATACTATATGGTACTATATTTGGTACAAATTTGATTTGGAGGTACACATCGAGCTGGGATCCTCAAAATTGAAATTAACATTACCGTCGGAGTGTAGGATTGGAATATGTACGTAGTTTTGGAAATTTTTACTTATGTGTACAAAAAGTACTAAATCGTACTATAATTGGTACAATTTGGATTTGGGTGAAGCGATAGAGCTGGAACAATGAAGTTTGGAGTTAGGATCATTGTAGGGATGTAGGATTAGGGTCAGGATTCAGTTTAAGAAAATAATACTTATGGGTACTAAATGGTACTAAATTTGGTACAGTTTGAATTTTAGGTGAACCAATAGAGCTAGAATCATGAAATTTGGAGTCAGGATCACTGTTGAGGTGTAAGATTGAAATATGTAGGAAGTTTTAGAAATTTGTACTAATGTGTACTAAATTTGGACAATTTAAATTGTGGGTGAAGCGACAAAGTTTGAATCCTGAAATTTTGATTCAGGATCACTGTGGATGTGTAGGATTGGAGTATGTAGGAAGATTGGGAAATTGGTACTAATGTGTACTAAACTTGGTACAATTTGAATTGTGGGTGAACCGATAGAGTTGGAATCCTGAAATTTTGATTTAGGATCACCGTGGAGGTGTAGAATTAGGGATTTAGTATCACTGTAGGGGTGTAGGTTTGGGGTAAGAAGGAGGTTTTGGAAATTCGATGTATTGTGTACTAAATTTGGTACAATTTGAATTGTGGGTGAACCTATAGAGTTGGAATCCTAAAACTTGTATTTAGGATCACTGTGGGGATGTAGGATTGAGGTATGTAGGAAGTTTTGGAAAGTGGTACTACTGTGTACTAACTTTGGTACAATTTGAATTGTGGGTCAACCGATAAAGTTGGAATCCTGAAACTTGGATTTAGGTTCACTGTGGGAATGTAGCTTTGGGTTAAGTAGGAAGTTTTGAAAATGTGTACTACTGTGTACAAAATTTGATACTATTTGGATTATAATTAAGATTTTATCTAATTCATGATTTCAATTTGATTGCATGATGTAGGTAGTAATGGAAATTTTTACTTATGTGTTCTAAGTGGTACTAAATGTGATACAAATTGGATTTATATGAACCGATAGAATCCTGAAATTTGGAATTAAGATTGGGGTATGTGGAAAGTGTTAGAAATTCGTACTTATGATTGCTAAAGTAGGTAGTTATGGAAATGTATATTAATGTGCACTAACTGATACTCAATTTGGATTTGGTTGATTTTTTTTTCAAAATAAGTATAACAAGAGTACAAATGGTAAAATATTACACCAAATTTGGGTGTGAGATACAGAGGTATATTTAATAACATACTATGGTACTAAATGGTTCTAAAATTTTAATAATGGTCGATATAGAGTGGTTTTAAATACATCCCACATTCGCCAACGAAGTAGCGGGTATATGCTAGTAATTAAATATATTTACTAATAATCTTGTGGTTTTTTTGTTTGTTTTTGCTATCTCGCGCTATTCACCACTTGTAGCCTTCTAACTTTTTATTAGTTCTAAGAGCTTACTTACCTGTGAATTTGCCTGCGTTTCATTTATTTTATCATATTTATTGCCAACGACAATTATACTAAAGTCACGATGACAAAAACTGTCCAAAATTTGATCTCTCATTGATCTGCAATACTGAAAAGAGAAGAAAGACACATTTTTTATTGTTAACCTTTGTTTTTTGGATGCCATAGTTGTAATATACATGTGGTTAAAAACTGTGTATCTAAAAACGAAAATAATCCTACCCTTCGTAAAATATTTTTTTTTTTTTGGAAAAAATTTTTTTCTCTTAAGCAGGATTTTCAATTAAAAGAACTTCGGATAAGTGAAACTCGTTGGGCTTAAACAAAGTTTTCAAACAATATCTGAAAATTCGTGAAATTTAAAAACCATATTATAAAATGAATTGAGTAAGAACTTATTTTTTTTTGTAGACATTTGATTGGAAGGTTGGAAAATGTGTAACAAAAGTTTAGGGTTGCACATATAAATTTTAATGAAGTTCGCCAATACAAAAACCAGTGATCGGAGCAGTATAGTCGGACGGGGCCGACTATACGATACCCTACACAACTACCACGGAACTCTAAATTTCTAGGAATTTTTATTCCGATCCTGAGCAATATTTTGTGATAGTTGCACCCTTTTGCCCGATTAGAGGTCAAGAGCACCTCTTCCTTATACTGACATATTTTCGGAATATTACTAATATTCAGTACAGTCGTTCTATTTAATTGTCCAGATTCCCTTCACCGTGGTTTGTTTGGTGATGTTCGGCTTATAATTGTGCCTATAGATCGATTTGAAAAAACAAAAAATTGGTTTTTGGTCCGCTTATTATTATCTAATCCGCTTATTATTATCTAATCAAACTGAAAATCATCACTCCTGGAAAATTTCAAAGCGATCAGCGCTATTTCCGCCCTCTAGTGTGGTAATGGGTTACCAAATAATATCTGAATACGCAAGCACCTGTAAGTCTTTAAGTGCAACTCCCACAACCGAGTACTCACGACAATATAATTGGTATCAATTTAAAGGTCAACCACTCCTCTTGGATACACTATCAACTTCTCGGGTCTATGTGCTTCAGGAGTAAAAATATACGCCGTAGACTACAAAATTTGTGATTTTCCACACAAAAGTAAGGGTGCATTTGACCCGCTAAATACTAACCGATCTTTATCAAAACAGGCATGCTTATTCTTTGGCCCAATCCCCTTCTCCATGTAAAAATTCCCGATGTTTGGACCATAATTGCGGCCTCTGGAGCGACCAGAAAATCAGACAAAAATAAAGTTTTTGGTCCATTTTATCCCCTAAATATTAACCGATCTTTACCAAAAACAATAGGGATCTTCATTGTCTAGAACCCATCCTACATGCAAAATTTCGTGAAGATTGGTCCATAACTGTGGCCTGTATCGTGTTTACAAATTATAATGGACAGACGGAAAGACGGACGGACACACATGTCCAGATCGACTCAGCTAGTCGAGATATGACGATCGGTATACTTAAAGGTGGGTCTAGGACCAATATTTCGCGGCGTTACAAACTCTTGGGTCTGCACAAAGCTATAATACCCTGACAACATAGTTGTGTAGGGTATAATGATATGTTTTTCTTAAACGGTGCTCGTTTCATATATATTTGTGTTTTTGCAACAAAAAAGTCTTTCTCTTATACAGATTTTAGTTTAAAATTCTTATTCTTCAATAAACCGATTTTTCGATAAAACGGCGTTCGCTTATCCGAATTCGACTGTATTCAATTGTAATACGTAAGAACAAAATCATCTGCAGAATCCTTAGAATATTCGCTGATAAATTTCGTGTAACAGGTGCACGGAGCGTATGCGCAATTTATAACTACAAATTATTTATCATACGCCACCGGGAATTTCATAAGTGTTTCCACTCAACGTTTTGTTTCTTACTTTGTGCTCATTTATTACACATTTTGTGTTTTTTTTTTTAACTCAAGGCCATCGGATTTGGCTTTAAGTAGAAAATGGGCGTTCATCATGCCACAATTACACATCTTATTAAGG